CCGCCACCCCCCCCTTTTAACAGTATATTTAGCAGGCTTTCTGTATCAGTACATCCTGACCTACATGATTGTTTTTAATGGGGGCATATTATTTTATTTATTTCCCCACTGTAGTCCTATTGATCACTAATTAAATTTTGTCATTACAAACAATGCAACAGTGAACACTCATAAATAGGTATCTTTTCACACTTGTGGGAGTAGGATAAATTCTTTGAAGAGGGCTTGATGGTAATAGGATATGTACACTTATATTTTTCCTATCTCTATTGAAAAATATCATCTAAAAGAATTGTAGCAGCCCTCGCCAGTTTGGCTCAGTGGTTAGAGCTTTGGCCTGCAGACTGGAAGGTCCCGGGTTTGATTCCACCCAAGGGCTCGTACCTTAGTTGCAGGCCTCGTGCAGGAGGCAACCAATCGATGTGTCTCTCTCACACTGATGTTTCTTTCTCATTCTCTCTCTCTCCCTCTCTCCCCTCCACACTCTCTGAAAAAGCTATGGAAAAAAATATCCTCAGGTGAGGACAAAAAAATAGTAAGAATTGTATCAAATTACTCCCTAATAATAAATTACCAGAGTGGCTCAGTTGGTTGGATGTTTCTCATGCACCGAAAGGTTGCTGGTTCGATTACCCGTCAGGGCACATGCACAGGTTTCAGGCTTGATCCTGGTAGGGGGCATGCAAGGGGCAGCCAATGAGTAGGCCACTGGTAGATTTTTGGCTCTCACATGATGTTTTTCTCTCTCTCGCCCTCTCCCTTCTTTTCTCTTTAAAAATCAATTTAAAATCTTTAAAAAAATTATTATGGTACCAAAACAGATACTATAAAACTAGGGCGTTAGTTGCATAATCTTGCCAATCTAATGATGAAAAATCTTATTTTTTTGTTTTAATTCATATTTTCTTATCTCTCATCTTTTCCAAATATTTTTCCCAACTTATTTATCTTTTAACTTTTTTCTCCCCCCATTTTGACTTTTTAGTAGTACTTTTTGCTGTACAGATTTTTAATTTGTAAGTAGCCAAACTGAACAGTCTTTTATGTATTCTAAGCTTTGGGTTATGTTTAGAATATTCTTCTAAGCTTATAAACAAATTAACCTATCTCTTCTAGTAGCTTAATTTTTTTTATAGTTAAATATTTAATACATCTGGAACTTAATAAAAAGAGTTCATTAGGAATTTAGCTTTATTTTATTCCAAATGGTTAGCCCATTGTCTCAACGATATTTATTCAATAATTTATCTTTCCTTCACTGACTGATAATACTACTTGTAATAAATTTCCAAGTATATGTGGGTCCATTTCCAGACAATTCTGAACTTTGAAAATGCTTTCATATGTGCCATTTCATTTCTAAACCTTGGAGTCCCTGGTTTGGAATAAACCAGAGCATAAAGTACTATTGCCAATTCTTAGAAGGGCTTTAAAGGTGCTCAGGGATTAGTAAACATCACAGTACTCATTTTGTAATCCTACATAGTCTGAATCCAGAATCATTTGGCAGACAGTTTTTACAAAATAAATTGCTTTGTCATCCAAAGTTTGAGGAGTCAAAAAAAAAATAATCCACTGGAAATAAATATGAGAAGGAAAACCACTTAATTTATTTAATCACTCTTTTTCTCCTTCACTCAATTTTTTAAACTATGTAAATAAGGCATATAACACTTTAGGAAGATGGTTTAGGGTAAATAATACACTATGCTTTTCCTGGGTAAATGTGATCAAACTCTTCTCTAATTTCCAGTGCAGGCAGAGGGTCAAAGATGGGGCATGCATAGCAGTGAAGCCTATTAGTGAGAGGGGAAAAGCTAGAAATGGGGAGAAATTAGCTTAGGGGAACTAAGTCCATTGTAGAGCTGCAGTGGAAATCATGGGCTCCAGAGGGAATTGTCAAAGTCCAGGAAAATTGGCATTGAAGGGGTTCCAGTCCACTGGATGCGATGCTGCAATAGTGCTCTCTGTGTTCTGGAAATATTCTGATTTATTGTTGGCAGCATCTCGGTTCCAGGTGGTCTGTGTGGGTGAAATAACCCTAGCCAGGGATTAGTAAACATCACAGTACTCATTTTTTAATCCCACATAGCCTGAATTCAGAATCATTTGACAGGACAGTTTTTGCAAAATAGTCATCCAAACTTTGAGGGGTCAAACAAACAACCCACTGGAAGTAAATATGACAAGTAAAACCACACAATTTATTTAATCATCCCTTTTCTCTCCTTCACTTCATTTATTTATTTTTTATAGTTTCTATGTAAATAAGCCATTGGAAGTCAGGATGTTGTCTTCTGGGTGTTAGAGCTGAGATTCAGAACAGGATTTAAGCCCTTCTGGGGAAAGAGAGTGTGGATTAGGAAACCAAGCAGCTACTGAGTCACGCAGATTGTGCAGACATAACAAAGATGTGAGATAGGGCTTGACTTGATCTAAGGGCATTTTATACTCCCCCCCCCCCC